GGAAATTCTTTATATATACGTGGCCTAAAGAAAGAGCTTTTTCCGGCGCGAATAAGTTTGAAGGTTGAGGTCACCCGGGGGAAGGGGGAGGGGGGGATAGGGGGGCGATCGATACTTTTCCCACTATATATACCTATGTATACACTCGCGTGGTGTAACATCGCGTGTAACATTCGGAAAATCGACCTCGCGTGCGGCAGCCGAGGCGTATTATCCCTTTATATCCCTTAATTTCGCGTCCTGATTAACCGGCCAGCCCCTGCCCCGGTCGGTTATCTCGGCCGCGCGCGCGCGGGTCGAAGGATAATCGTCGAGAGAGAGTTCTCGAGCCGAGATAAAATGTAAAATGTGTGTGTTTTGCGCTTATGCGAACGGAAGAAGGAGATCCCCGACCCCGTTATTGTTGCCCGCCGAAACGCAGCTTCAACTCGGAAAGCGCCGCGCGCGGTGTTTCATATATTTCTCCGTCTCGAATACATGCAGTACAAAACGCGGAGAGGAAGCTCACTGGTCCGAGATAACAAACGGCGAGGGAGCGGATTATACGTTTTTCGCCGCAATGCCGAGTTTCGAGGGGGAAATCGATCTAGACCATTCGTTTGCGAAGGCGTTAATCTACACCACGCGGGGGGGGGGGGGGACTCGTTTTGCTTGCCCGCGCGAGAGAGAGCTTTCTTCGGCTCGTTAGCCGCGCATAATGTAAGCGCATGCATCACAATGAGAGAATGCTTTCGCATAAATTCACGGCGCCGACAATGAGGAAGATGACGGGGGAAACGTGATCTCACGTGGGTTCCGGCCGCGCGGCTATTGTAACGGATACGCCGCGGGTACACAGTCCCAGTCTCAGTTTTAGCGCTAATTCCGCGCGCGTTCGCGGCCTCGAAAATAACAGTAAATTATATTGAAACTAATTGCGTTCTAAGTTAATAACAGCTACCGGCAGAGGCATGCCGGATTCCGCGTTAATTATCGTTACAAGCAACCGCACATTCAACACACACGTGTGTACGTATATCACGTTAAATTTTCACTCGGTATTATTCTAACGAAATTATCTAGAATTGAAATTGTTTATAATTGTACCGCTATCAATGCCAATTTTAATGCCTTAGTACACACTCGATGATTTTTATAGGTTCTTTAATGCACACACGGAAAGAACGATTTTGTTGAAAGGTTTGAAACATTTTGCTGAATATAGATCTGAAAATAATTTTTGTTGAAACATTAAAATTCCAACAAAATTATTTTCAGCTCTGTATCCAGCAAAATCGTTCTTTCCGTTGTACATAAACACATACGGAAAGAACGATTTTACTGGAAGGTCAACAATTTTGAATTTGAAAATAATTTTGTTAGACCATCGAAATAATTTTGTTGGAAACTCAAAAATGATAAGTTTACATTACTGTAAAACGTTTTGATAGCAGTCTAGCAATCAGTTTGACTTTCCAACAAAATTATATTGATGGTCCAACAAGAATTACAGTATCCAGCGAAATTTTTTGACCTTCCAGCAAAATCGTTCTTTCCGTGCACGCGCGCGTCATAGGTCGTTTGTGTCTGGATTAATTTTCATAACTTTCACAAGTACCTATACAAAAATTATTAAGGCTCCTGTTTACTTACCACTACTATCTTAGATTGTGACGTCAGAAGCGAGAAAATACACAATAAAAGTTCTTGCAAAACATATTAAAATGGAAATATGTTTTTCAATAAAATAATACAATCGATAGAACCGACTTGTAAAATGTATCGAAAACTCTTTTATTTCGTTAATTAATAAATATTTGGAAATTAATTACATATAACTAAAAGCGAAACAAACTGCAATTATCTCAAATTAATAATATAAAGAAATAAATATGATTTAATTTCTCCCGGAACAAAAAGAAAGTTTTCGATATATTTTATAAGTTTATTCTCTATCGATTGCAAACGTTTTATTGTCATATATTTCTATTTGATTTATACTTTGTGAGAATTTTTATTGCCTTATTTTTTCGCTTCTGACGTCACAATCTGAAATAGTAGTGGTGAATAAACAGGAGTCTTAAGTGATTCTTATATATATGTATTCTTAATATTTTTAGAAAGTAGATTTTGTAAGATTGTGTATTAAAAAAAATTATATATAAATGTTATAATTACTAATGACAGCTGACACAAATGACACATGTATTAAAGGTTACGGAAATTATTGAGTTGTATTCATGTACGTAAAAAAATGTGGTCTTGAAGAATCAGCGTACGAAGTCGTAAAAAATTTTAACGAACCAGCAGTCTAGAAGGCAGTGGAGAGTTTCGCCACGTCGTCGTGCCAAGATAATCGAGGGTTAACCGCACGAATGGTGAACCGTCCCTGCCCGCGCGACATTCCGTCGCGGATGCACCGTCGTTCGGATCTAATAAAACCGCAACGACCAGCGGAGTTTTCTTCGCGTATAACGACGACACGCGACGGGGCGTCCGCGCGACGAGAAAAGTTGACGTCTTTCCCGCTGACATATTCCGTGCCGAAAAAAATATGGACTTCGATAAAAGTTTATGACAATGATGACGTCAGGATCGTTCGACACCCGACACGAAACGGATTTTCTCCTTCTCTAACAAAGTAAAGTTTCGACTCCACTCGTGCATAGATTCGCAACCGTGTCTGTCGGTGCCATCTCGCATCGAATTTAGAATGGAAATTCGCCGAAACTTCGGCGTTTCTCGCTCGAAGTGAAACCGCCGAATTGCATTATTTCGCACTCGAGAGCTCTCTCGTCGTGACTTAAGGGGTCTGCCTACCTCTGAGGTTTTAAAATGATACCTTAAATTTGAGATTTTTTTATGGGTAAATGAATGACTTTATTTAAAATCTGCGTAAGGAACATTATTGTACATATATAAGAAACAAAAAAAATATTTTATTTTTTTTATGTCCAAAATGGCGGCGCATTGGCTTACATTTGCGGAATCCCTTTTTTTTCTATCGGTGTACAGGATTCCGGGCACACAGTTTGATCTTGAACAAAACACAAAGAATTTTCATTATCTACATATTAAAGACTATAGAGAGGTACGCAGGGCTTTTTCAAAATATTGATTTTTCTTAAAATAACAGCTATTTTACGAAAGACTTGTATTGACAAAAATACGAACTTTTCATAAAAATAGCTGCCATTTCGAGAAAAATCAATATTTTAAAAAACCCCTACGTACCTCTATAGTCTTTAATATGTAGATAATGAAAATTCTTTGTGCTTTGTTCAAGAGCAAACCGTGTGCCTGGAACCCTGTATATCAATTTGAAAAAACAGAAAAAAAGGATTCCGCAAGTAGGCCATTGCGCCGCCATTTTGTGCATAAAAAAAATATTTTTTCTAATTTCTTATATGTACAACAATGTCCTCTAAACAGCTTTTAAATAAAGTTATCTATTTACCCACAAAAAAATCCCAAACTTAGGTGTCATTTTAAGGCCTCAAGGATGGGCAGACCCCTTAAGTACGGCCCGCGGATCAGAAACAATATAGAAACATTAGCCGTTCCCTTTCGACGGAATTTTATATATACATTCTTTCTATTATCGAAGACGAGGCGCGAATCAAGTGTTCTCTTAAGTGCACCGTAAAGTACTCTCTATCGCGGAGAAAAGAATTTTAGAAAGTGCTGAAAAAATAAACGTCTTCATATCGAAGAGTAAAAAGATATTCTTCACGATTTTATCTCTATTCTTTCAGAAAAAGTGGAAACGATCAAAAAAGTGAAAATCGTCGTTCCTATAATAAAGGAGAATATTAAGTTTTTCTTTAACGTGAAGCAGCTGCGACTTATATAAATTATATATTAAAGAACTATTTTAGCGAGTCGAGTGGTATATCGCTTATCTTGGGGAAACATCGGAAACCTGGAAGAAATCAATAACAATCCAAGAATAAAAATCCAATGCTATCGCATTTATTGATAGAAAAATGATTAAGTAAGAGGCAAGACATCGCGAATTAAGCAACAAGGACTCTGTTGTTATTTAAACACATATAACTTGGAGATTTTTGAGCGATTGATGAACGATAACAATAAGAGTCCGATAAGATAATCGTTTGGTTTTGGGAATTTTGGCTTTAAATAACGAATATAATTATCAAATACATGTTTAAGTAACAATCCTTATTCCCGATTAATTCTCGACATCTTGACGTTTCATTCAACAACTTTTGTCAATAAATGTAATAGCATTATTGTCTTTTTTTTATTACGATTTCTTCTCTTTCCGATATTTTCCCAAGAAAAGCGATATGCCGTTACTTGGTTACGTTTAAGCAGCTCTCTAAAATGATATATAATTCGCAACATCTCGAAATCTTCACATTGGCCGGAAAACAGCTAAAACATTCTCCTTCGACGAAGCATACAAATATATATTAGCTAAATCTTGTTTATTTCAACACGAAAAGAATGATTTTGTTGAAAGGTCTAAAAAAATTTTGCTAAATATAGATCTAAAGATAAATTCTTGTTGAATCATCAAAATAATTTGTTGAAAAGTTGAAAATAATAAGCATTGCTATAAAACGTTTTGATATTCTAGCAATCATTTTGACTTTCTAATAAAATTACTTTGATTATTGAACAAAAATTATTTTCAGATTTGGATCCAGCAAAATTGTTCTTTCCGTGAATATCTTAATTCCATTCAATTAATGTGATAAAGCAGATGAAAAAGAAAGAAGGTAAATCCGATTTTGTTCTTCAGCAACAACCGTTACGACATGATCGTGTAATTCCGTAAAGCGAAACGTGGAAAGCGAAACATGGAATGAAGAAGCGAGGAATCTTCTCGCAGATTCAACTCCGCTGATGTTCGTGGCAGCGTGGTACAAGTTTAGCGGCTTGTCACGGTGTCATCTGTGCGGAAATGTATGCCGTGTGCCGTGAAGAAGTGCCGGCGCTCAGCTCGCTGTTCGACTGTAACGAACGGATGCGGCGGGGCGCAGTGGTAAACTTACGGTTCAAACCGACGGCGGGGCTTCCATCTCTCTCCCCTGCGGAGAACTCGCGCGAATTCGATTCCGAGCGGGCTATCGAGATTTCCGACGGCGTTGAAGTGAAAAGAAGAAACGACTCTTGTTTTCCGAGGGGACAGAAGGACGGGAGAGAGGAGGAGGGGACGAGAACGGGGGAGAAAGAGATCTTGCTCTACACGAGAGAAGATTCGACTGCACTTACGAGATCGCGATCGACACTCCGCTCGCGAGAATATAGAAAGTTCTCGCGGAGGAGAGGGCGAGAGATCTACGAGATTTAGGTCGAGACAAGATGCGAGAGGCTTTGAAAGCAAGAAGGCGAGGGGTGGGGGATAAGGATGCTCCCTCGTTGCTTCCTACGATCGACTAGATCCCACTGGTGGTAGTGGTGGTGGTGATGCTGATCTCGTAGCGCGCTAAAAGTCGGGCTGACCGCCGGGGTGTCAAAGGCTCTCCGCGCGGCCAGCTGATCGGGACTCGCTCGCAGCCTCGCCGTTGATAAGGACGCCGTCTCTATCGTGGATAACGCGCTCGTCGGCCGCGAGCATAATGTCCCGTGAATGAATGCGGAGGCCAAAGGGGGAACGAGAGCGAGCAAGAGAGAAGAGGCTGCAACGTAGGTCTAGGAGGGGAGAAGAATCTGCACGCGGACTGTAAACCAGAGATTCGACAAAAGTTTATGTATTCCGGTATTCGACGGTGTGACTGATATATAGAGACTCGCGGGACTCCCGATGCGACGCGCTCGCGCGAACACACGCCAGGCCACTGCATGCGATGCGATTACGCGGCCGGAGCCAACCCTCCGCGCCACGCCAACCCCACCACGGGAGCGAGGCGCGAGAGAGCCACGCCACCCTTCTCTTTCCTCGCGCGCACTACCCTCCGGCGGGAGACACCACGCCGTCGACCTACTCTTGTCGTCTTCCGAGCGATTCGCCCCGTCTTCGAGGCGTCGTCGTCGTCGTCGTCGTCGTGCCACGGCCACGCTCGACCGCGCCATCCTCACGACCCCCTACCCCCCCTCATCATCCCCCTCCTGCGCCACGCCACCGTGTTCCCGATTGTGAACACCGCACGTGATGCGTGAGTACGTGCTTCGACTCTGTCACAAGCATCGGTATCTGGAAAATTGATGGTCGATTGGGAAAAAAAGGGAGCGCGGCGGAATTTTGGAAATCGAAACCGATGAAAAACAATTCTCGAACGCAAGTAGTGTACAGATAGTTTTCGGAGAGTGTATGAGAGATTGCGCTTTACACATATATATAACAGCGAATATCGCGCACTAAAGAAATATCCCGCGAGGTAACCAACCAAACATTTCCAACGCATTTGGCAAATCCCTTTGTACCAAATATGTATATACAATATAGCCTAGATATAAAACGACGATGCCAAACCATGCTGGAAAAGTTTAGTCGCGCGTTTATTTCTCTATATATTTTATATAAGAAAATATTCGAGTCAAGTCTGTATTTCTATTACGGTTATAAAACTTGATAAATAAAAGAGTTTTAAATCGGTCAGAGCTGGGTTGTTAGTAATATATAGGGTGTTCCTCAAGTATTCTAAAAGATTTAAGTACTTTGAAAGGAATGATTTATCAAAGATTAAGAGGTTAATTGAAGATAAAAATTTCATGTGATGATATGTCCGAAACGACTTTCAAAGAAACAGAGTGTCCTTGGGTCCGGCCTTGATTTAAATAAAAAAATAATGTATGGTCCCAAAAAATGAGCCTTTATCTTGAAATGTATATACAAAGTTTCATCACAATAATCTCTGGTTCAAATTTTATTCAAGTTCTCCAAAAAATCTCGAAAATCACTCACTATTAAATCTATAGTGTCAAATTTAACCCTATTTAAGTCGCTACTGCTCCTATTTAATAAATAGTTATTTTTAAATAAAACAATGAAATTTAATCCTTTGGGTTAAATTTGAATTGTTTTAAATTATTTCACTCCATTTTAGTTAAAAATAACTATTTATTAAGTAGGAGCAGTGGCGACTTAAATAAGATTAAATTTGACACTATAGATTTAACAGTGCTCACAATCAGTTGTTTAAATTTTGGTTGATATGAATTAGCTTTCGTTTTAAATTAATGTAAAAAATCCTTCTTAAAAACTTTCAGAATGTTCAAAAACTATCTTGTATAAATCTTAATAATATATATAAAATAGTTATAAAACTGTTCTTAGATGAGGTTATTATTTATTCTCGTTGTAGATTCTCTTCCCACATTTTTGCTGTAATGAATAACGAATTCCGGGCTAAACCGAATGACATAAACGGACGCGACAGTCGTGTAAAACGGCGTCCTGAAAAGCATCGCGGTTCAACGAGGATGCGCCGGTGTTGCGCGAGAGGCGCATCGTCAGGCAACGTGACTGGATTGAAATCGACATTCGCGTAAATCGAACTATTGTCGGGGCAGCACTGCCAAGCGAAACGTACGTCATACGAGTTACATTCCCCTGCAGTATATTTCGGATATTTATAACATCCCGATATGAAGGATGCGAGGGAAGGATGAATCGATTTTTGCCAAACGAAATTTCTACACAAAGTACATTCGATAGAGACGTTGATCTTTCATTGAATCGTTTCTTTAAAGCAACCTTATCTTGATGAGGACAGAACCAAATTCAGAAATTACAATTTTTTTTTGCGGCGATTGTAGTTTTTTTGCACACTAAGAAAAATTTCCAAGTTTTTTCCATTCAAAAAGATCGGATTATCCTTTTAAAAAGTAACAAATGGATATTTACGACCAACGTCGGATCAAAAATCCGATCACTAGTTCATCGGAAATATATTGATCGGAATGTCAAGAGAAATATCCAATCACTAGTTCATCGGAAATATATTAATCACTTTCTTCTTTTTTCTATAATGGCCTTGGTTCCCTTAAGTAGAGATAAACTTGGTTAAGCTTACAATGCACGGATAAGACACCCGGCAGGTTTTGTCGTCGAATTCAAAAAATGATGCAATACTCGAGCCGAAACGGAACACGTCCACCTCCCTCCAACTCAAGTAAAAGACTGATAACAGCACTGATTGTGAGAAAAGGGGACTTTCCTGATCGGATATCACATTTGACTTGAAAATTTCATAGGATAAACCGACAACTAGATCGGACATTACAATTGATCGGATAAAATATCCGTTCAAGTATAATATCCGATCTAATTGTTCATTTAGCCTACGAAATTTTACCGAATAAGCAAATGGCAGCTCATTTTCCGTTCACATTTTATCGGAAATCACTTTTCATCGGATAAAGGAAATGATTATTTTGTATTCGATCCGTTTACCAATCGAAAAATGATCGGAAAATGACTTAAACGATTATTTCCAATTAAAATCATTGGACATTTTTCTCAGTGCAGCATTGAAAATTTTATTTGATGTCTTTGTCGCGCGACGAGCTTCCACGTGGAATTCGTGGAATATCAGGGTGACAAAGGCGAGGCGGAATCTTCAGCCCTCGGCGATTTAACGTTAATTACTGAAGAAGCCACGTCGAGTCACGCTATTAACTTCCTCGATATTTGACTTTCGAGCGGGGGAGTGACGCCGGTTTCTTTTGTATCGCGCATGGGACGCGCTCTCCACGGGAGAGAACTTTAATGCCAGGTACGGAGATGCATTTCGTTTCTTACGGAAAACAAAAAGGACTAAGCGCTAAGTAGGACGACGAGAGTTCTCTTGGCTTGTAAGTCTCGGCTGCCAGCTCACAGCTATATTGTATAGGAAACAAGGTATTTGAGATATAGTGTGACCCGCGGTACGTATGCGGTGCACGTATATAATAAAGGATTCCTCGCCCCCCAAGAAGGGAGATGATTGAAGGATCGCCAAATAAAATTCAAAAAGCTCCTACTCTTGGCGGAAATCTCATCTTCTCCGATATAAAATTTTCAAAGCTGGATTTCACGTTTGAAGAGATAAACCGCATTTGTACAACAGACACACTTTATACTTTATTGGTATATATAACCAATAGAGTCAAATATTTTAGAAGCTGAATTTTGGATCTCTGGTGTTTTTCTTTTATGATGTTTTATGCTATTTTTTAGGAGAAAAATGATTTGATCAAGGTAATTTTGGTTTAAATATTCAGGGTGGTCCATTTAAATCGAACACTTTTAATATCTCACTTATTTTTTATATGATACAAAAAAATGTTTTAGATTAAAGTTGAACGGCTTTGAGAAGAACATATTTTTGTCACGTCGTTTTTTTTTTTAAGTAGAAGCGCCAAACAGATATGAAGGTCATTTTCTCTTTTATAAATGGAATTATGATATTTTTTTATATAATATGATTTCTCTAATTATTCTGCAGAATAATTAGAGAAATCATATTCTAAAAGATTAAGGTAGAAAAATCAATAGTTTACGTCTTACGAGATATTTTATACTTTACCTTGT